AGCAGGAAATGTGTTAAGTAATATAGAATGTTCTTTTTAAGAAATGTTAACAGTAAATTTACTGGAAATGTAAAAAGCCTGTTATTTTAGGTCTACTCATCCAGTGAGATCTGCATGCCTTACAGCTTTATACTTTTCATGAATTCACTCACTTTTTTCAAATGTCTTTACAAGTATTTTTCTTGTATGTTGATTTTCTTCTTGTTCTCTTTCTCATTGTCCAGTTTACTTCTACAATTTTGGATGGAAGGATTATGGTGTCGCATCCCTTACCACCATCTTAGATATGGTGAAGGTGATGACATTTGCCTTACAAGAAGGAAAAGTAGCTATCCATTGTCATGCCGGGCTTGGTCGAACAGGTAAATTCTAGGAGGTGGTTCTATTGTCCTTCTACATGTTTAAACATATAAGGAATATTTCCTAATTCTAGAGGATAGTTTTCAGATTCGTATCAAAGTTTTGGAGTCAAATGGAACAAGTCAGTAAAAGATACTTGAAATATCTTAGATAGCTTCAGTGACCATATATTCATGAGAGTATTTTTGAATGATTTAGTGCTAAAACCTCATCATATTGAGTAATAAATAGGTGGATTTCCATAGCTAGCTAAATGATCTTTCTGATGTTCTATTTTAAAGGAAAAATTCAATATTTTGTTTTTAATATGCAGTATCTTTTTAAAATGTAATTTTCCTTAACCAAAATAATAATGAAAATAGCAAGCATTGTTTCACCTACTGTCTTTTTAAGTCTTTAGCAACAGTGTAAGTTTTGAAGGAGGTTAATTTGCTACATCAAGTAAGTGGCAGGGCCATGACTTAAAATCCATGGCTGTAAGGATTTTGTTTATAAAGGAGAGTCTTACCTGTACCTAGAATTCTATATAAAAATCAATGAATTTACTTAAAAATGCTGCAGAATATCAGTACAATACTGATATTGGGGCACAAAAAGGGTTGGAATTGAGCTTCCCTGGTGGCACAGTGGTTGAGAGTACGCCTGCCGATGCAGGGGACATGGGTTCGTTGCCCAGTCTGGGAAGATTCCACATGCCGCGGAGCGGCTAGGCCCATGAGCCATGGCTGCTGAGCCTGCACGTCCGGACCCTGTGCTCCGCAATGGGAGAGGCCACAGCAGTGAGAGGCCCGCGTACCACAAAAAAAAAAAAAGGGTTGGAATCTTCATTGTCATGTAATCTAGCCAGACACCTGAGCTCGACTCTGTCCACAGTGTACCCATATACCTACCACTGGGTCTTCCACCTTCTGGGGAGCATCTTTAGGGTAGAGACTCAGTTCTGTCCCAGACTGTCAGCTCTCATGGTTGAGCCAAAATCTCACTGTTCTAGGGATTCCACATGATAGCTCTGCAGATATTTCATACTTACCCTAAAGAACTGCCATGTCCTAGTGAGAAAGATAGGTTGGACCTTGCCGTGTACTAGGAAAAATGCATTTTTCAGAGGCTCTGATTTTCATGTGTAACGAGATTCACAAACTTGGTGATTTACACAGATGTCTTTTGAATTGCCTTTTACTTGATGTTAGTTAACTGTTATATTTGAGTTAATTGATTATTGCCTTTTTATTATTCATTTTAATTTAGTATTAATTAACAAGAATACATAATGTTTATACTGTTAAGGCTATTTTCCTTAATATTAAGTGCTTATAGAAAAACAGTTGTGGTCTAGAGGAAAATACATATTAGTTTAGGCATTAGTTTAGTCTTAAATAAGAATCATCAGGAGAAAAATATAGATTGTGAATGTGAATAATTGCCAAAGATAAAAATACCCAAGTAGGAAAAATGCCAGTCTGGAATGTGCCACCAGTTGATGTCAAAGATGGCAGGGGTGGGAAGTTCCAAGCAGAGTGTACAGACTGATTGGATAGAAATTTTTAAGAGCTGTTCAGAGTGGAAAGCAGGATTGGCTTTCTTCCATGTTGGAGCTGGGCATTAATGACGGTAAATGGGCCAGGTCATCAGTTTATTCAGTCATCACCCTCCACACTCAGTCATCCCCCCTCACTCCACACCTACTCAACTTCACTGTGACAGTTCTTGGTGCTTGCCCTGGAGTACAGAGGTGACCAAGTGTTCTCAGTCAAGGGGAGGGTTGCCATATAGACTTAGTAAATAGATGAACACCTGTACAAAAAGTTATCATTGTCCTTAAAATGTTTCTGTATTTATATGGTTTCTTAACAGATATTCAAATTTTAAATCACCAAAGGGTATAAATAAAAATATAAGCTTTTCTCATATCAATATTCTCTTCTTCACTGTTCAGGTGTTTTAATAGCATGTTACTTAGTTTTTGCAACAAGAATGACTGCTGACCAAGCAATTATATTTGTTCGGGCAAAGCGACCTAATTCCATACAAACCCGAGGACAGCTACTATGTGTAAGGGAATTTACTCAGTTTCTGATTCCTCTTCGCAATATATTCTCTTGCTGTGACCCCAAGGCACATGCTGTCACCTTAGCACAGTATCTCATTCGTCAGCGGCATCTGCTTCATGGCTATGAGGCACGACTTCTGAAACATGTACCCAAAATTATCCATCTCGTGTGCAAATTGTTGCTGGACTTAGCAGAGAACAGGCCAGTAGTGACGGAAGAAGTGGCAGAAGTACCTGGCCTCTCTGCTGAAATTGAAAAGACTGTTTCTGAGATGGTCACAATGCAGCTGGATAAAGAGTTACTGAGACATGACAGTGATGCATCGGACTCTTTCACCCCCAGTGCAGTGGTGGCAGATTTTGAGAATCAGGATGTGATTCTTTCCAGTGAGCAAGAGTTTGACCCTCTTTGGAAGAGGCGGAATGTTGAGGGCCTTCAGCCCCTGACTCGTCTGCAAAGACAGCTCAGCTACAGTGACTCGGACTTAAAGAGAGCCGAGTCACTTCTAGAGCAAGGGAGGACTCCGTGGACAGTGCCTGCCCAGGCCTTGCTTTGCCATAACCCCAGGCAGCAGAAGCCCATAAGCCATTGTTACTCCCCACAGTCTCCACAGCTAGATTTAAATAAGGAAACGCTGGTCCACAGTACATTTTCTTTCTGGAATCATGCTAAATTTGGAGGCCTGGAAGGACTCAAAGATGACAGGTCATCAATTTTCCATAGGACGAACATTCCAAAGGAAGTACAGCGAAGTAGAACCTTCTCTTCCTGTATTTCAGGTTCATACAACCCTGGGGAACCAGTTACACCAAATTTTGCAAATATCCCTAAGGAACTAAACTGTTCTCACCAGCAAGTGTCCCACTGTGAGTGTGAAACTCGTGGTGGTTGTAGCCCAAGCTCTGTTACGGAGGACAGTGAGACTTGCCACCGCCCCGTGGACTGTGCGTCCAGTCCCAAAGCACAATTCTTGGCTGGACCTGAAACCCGGGATAGCAAATACCTGTCTGAGGGTGCTCCATACATGGCTTTACATTCTGACTTGAGTGTTGAAGCAAGGAGAATACTGGCAGCCAAAGCCCTGGCAAATTTAAATGAGATTGCAGAAAAGGAGGAAGTGAAAAAGAAGGTAGAAATGTGGCAGGTACTTGTATTTCATTTAATTATATATGAGTGGGAAATATTTGTGTAAGAGCAAAAACAGTACATTTTCCCAGATTCATTTGTTACAGGAATTTGAAGACATGTTTGTATAATACGTAACTTTTGAACTTCAAGTTACTCAGCTATAATACCAGCTTACTGTCATAGAAACAGCAGACACAGGGCTGTTTTGTAGGTTCATTTCAATCTCTGTGAAGGAAAGCCCTTAGTGCTTAGCACTCAGCAGGGTGCTTGACTGAGCAAGGCAATGATATTGATTGATGTCGATAGTTTCCTTCTTTCTCACTGGGCTTGCAGGGCTGATGGACAGATGAACAGACCACAGCAGACAGCTGTAGGAACTGACCCGAAGTATCTCTAACCTGAGACCTAGCAGGGAACCACTCTTTGAGAACCAGTGACAGAGATATAAATGAAATAGAGACAATTCTTTTCCAAAGCTCATTAACCCAACTATCAAGTAAAGCCAGAAGGATGAGTGATGGATGCTGTCTGCTCAGCATTCCCTCCTGCAGACTTCCCAGTCCACCCCAATAAGTCAGGTGTTGGATTCCGGAAGGCAAATGGGAGTGGCCACAGCGTACCTTTGTGCCACTGGCTTTATCTGACACTGGGTTCTTGGGGTCTATTTCTTAGCCTTTACTTAAATTAGAATGTGAAATTTTAAATTTTAATGCCTTTTTGTGTTGTACTTTCACTAGGAAGACAGTCTTAAATTAGCCTTGCTCTCTGCCCAAAATAAGCAGCTGGTCTAGAGAAAATGCAGGCCTTATAAACCTAGTTATCAGAAACAAGTAAACTGCCCAAATGTGGGGCTGACCTGGGGAGGCCTGGCTCAGTGAAATTTTGGCTTGTTAGCCCATAACCTACCATGAATTATTTGTGTAGCTACTTTTCCATATCCTACCATTAATCAAACAAGGTGTGTACACTTTTCAGGAGGCCAGACCTTCCAGATGCAGAGGCGGGAAGAGTAGGCGTGGAGCCTCGCCCTCACTTGCAACTGTGTGACAGGAGGAGAGCGCTTCCACACACGATTTCTCCATCAGAATTGTAGTGTTTTGTTTAATGAATAGTTAAATGTATTGCTTTCTTCCAACATGAAGTATTTTCTTTATTTCCTACTCCAAACTGAACAAGCCTTCCGCTCAGTGGACAGGTCTCCTCTGCGTCGCTGTGAGCCACAGTAGCTAGTGGCAGGACCTCTGGGTTCAGGCTTGAGAGCTCACCACCCCCTCGTGGGTCAGCCCCACATGGGCCAGACTGTTTGAACACATAATATAAATGAAAGCATTTCCTAGAGGTAGATACTACCCTATCATTTGGATAGGTTTGCCTTTTTTTTCCTTTCTAGATTTTATTGTGGGTCTTTCAGTAATAAAACAAATCAGTTGAATTCTGGAAAAAGTAAAATGAACATGATTCGAATAGCATAATGCTGCCTGTGCCCTTATTAGGCACTTTCATATCTATTATTTCATGTGATTTTCACAGAAATCCTGTGAGACAGATGATATTTTTTACAGATTCTTTGTTAATCTTTCAGTCCTTATGAGTTAAGTATCGTAGGTCAGGAAACCAAGGGTCACAGAGGTCAAGTGATGTGCTTGAGGAGATGTGGTCCAAAGGCAGCAGGGCCAGGATACAGTTCATGTGTTTAATACTTTCCATCATCCCTGATGTTTTTCCTAACCCTGCGGGAAGATTTCAGAAAACAACAATGATGTAATGGTTGTTCTACTAAGAGGGTCTTTGAGTCATGTTGTTTCTGCCCAACATAAAAATTGAGTAAAAGCTACTCTGCTATGTGCATGATCTATGGGATATGAAGGACTATCCACAACTAAAGGTTTTGGCTTATTTATGACATAATAGAAAGAAACCCAGTGCTGGAGGACCCTGGTAGCATGAGAAAAACATCGCAGACTGGGATAGAGCAGATCTGGGTTGGGAATGCGCTCTCACACTTTGGGCTCCTGGGCAAGTTACTTCATCTTTCCTGAGCCCCCCAGTACATTTATCTGTAAAGGAGACCTCCTTGCTGAGTTGCTGTAAGAATCAGAGATAAGTCTTGTATCATCGTTCTTGTCATACTATAAGTATTCTATGAATATTGGATGGGTGAATGAATGAATGGTGGCAGTTATTCTGCTGATTACTATTGCAAACACGTATTTTATTTATTAAAAACAAATCTGAACCTTGTCAGAAATTAAAATTCTTATCTCACTTTTCCTCTGATCTCTGTGAGGTAAAGTTTTAAAATCTTAAATTATCTCCAGACATTTGGAGTATTGGCAAGACTTCCTAGTTATTTTACCCTATCAAATTTCAGAATACAGGGCTTGTTTGTTAAATTCTACATAGGATTCTAAAAAGGAATTTGAAAGAAATACATATACCAAATTTACTAACTTTTTGGCACTTTTACACTTTACACTTTTTCATCTACCATTCTACTTCCTTGCCGTAAATATTTGTTTTGTTCCAAGGAGCCTGAAAAGGAAGGTTCCCTCTTCTTGAACTGTTTCTGTGGTCTCTAAACAAAGTGGAGAACTCAGGTTAGCTAAGTCTTTCTTTGTACCAAGAGCTTTAACAGCCCTCTCAGTCAGTCTACCTGTGGGGTGGAGATGAACTTTACAAAGGGAAACTGAGGCTTAGAGAAATTGCATGTCTTAGCCCAAGGTACTAGCTGGAAGTGGGGTCACTGGGAGGGGTCCCAATCCACACCCCAGAGCCTAAGAGTTTACTCTCCTGGACAGCCTAAGGATCATCAGATGTCAAACCGTGCCTGCCTCCCTCTCCTCCTCTCTCCCTCACTTTGTCTCTCTCTCTTCCTCTCCCTCCTTTCCTATCTGTCCTCTCCTCTCCTCTCTCCTTTCTTTTTCTCTTTCTTTCTTCCTTCATTTTTAGAAAGAACTAAATTCCCGAGATGGAGCTTGGGAAAGAATATGTGGCGAAAGGGATCCTTTCATCCTGTGCAGTTTGATGTGGTCTTGGGTGGAGCAGCTGAAGGAGCCTGTGATAACCAAAGAGGACGTGGACATGTTGGTTGACAGATCTGCGGATGCCGCAGAAGCACTGTTTTTATTAGAGAAGGTAAAGTAGCTGTTGAATAGTTGATGAAGTTAACTAAGGCCCTCAATACAAGTTTTACAGACTGAAAAAAAACATTATAAAAAAGAGAAGGGCTTCCCTGGTGGCACAGTGGTTGAGAGTCCGCCTGCCGATGCAGGGGGACACGGGTTCGTGCCCCGGTCCGGGAAGATCCCACATGCCGCGGAGCGGCTGGGCCCGTGAGCCATGGCCGCTGAGCCTGCGCGTCCGGGGCCTGCCTGTGCTCCGCAATGGGAGAGGCCACAGCAGTGAGGAGCCCACGTACCACAAAAAAAAAAAAAGAGAGAGAGAGAGAGAATTCACACAGAATCCCTTATCGGGGTCTAATTTAAATTTTTCCAAGGTAAGAAAAGAAATGCATCCCCAGTATAAACATTTAGAAGATACAAAAATAAAAAGGGAAAATACCCATAACCCCAGGAGAACTACTTTAAACATTTTCAAGTCTTTTCTTTCAATCTTACTGATGCATATGTTAACTTGGTAAAAATTATTTCACATACAACTTTATACTTCATTTTTGCTCAGAATTGTAACATAGGTATTTTTCCATGTTTAAGTTTTTCATTAATGTTAACTTTAATGGGTAGATAATGCTCTAACATGGGGATATGTTATAACTAACCACTTTTTCATTTTAAAGTATTTGTTTCTACTTATTTACTGTGAGCATATAATGTGAATAACTGAGGTAGGTTGGAATATGCATTCATTTTTATTTCTTTTAAAAGGGTGTGTGTCACATATATACATTTATGTATATAATTTGTGTATGTATAAAATATAGAGGGAAAAATAAGAAACTGATAATGGTGGTTGCCTTTAAAACAGCAGTTCCCAACCTTTTTGGCCCTAGGGAGAGGTTTCATGGAAGACAGTTTTTCCATGGAGTGGGTTGGGGGGAGGATGGTTTCAGGATAATTCAGTCACGTTACATTTATTGTGCACTTTATTTCTATTATTTTTATATTGTAATATATAATGAAATAATTATACAACTCACCATAATGCTGACAGGAGGCAGAGCTCAGGCAGTAATGCGAGTGATGGTGAGCAGCTGTAAATACAGATGAAGCTTCGCTCACTCGCCCGCTGCTCACCTCCTGCCGTGCGGCCTGGTTCCTAACAGGCCATGGACTGTTACCAGTGAGTGCGTGGCCCAGGGGTTGGGGACCCCTGCTTTAGAGAATAGTAGTAGGAGACAGTGGATCTAGGAAGCAAGAGAGACTTTTCATTGTAGATTCTTTTATACAATTTAATATTTTTAACCCTGAAGAGATATTAAATTTTCATTTATAAATAGGCTTTGTTTTGTTTTAGGAAACAGTGTTATAATCAGCCTTGAGTAACCTACTACGCTGTGGTGTAAACACCTCATTGCTTCCAAATCTTCTACTACTACTATTACTACTTCATATAGACACACAGAGATACACACAGGCACTTGCTCACAGTTGTGTGATGCATGTCTTTAAAGATAAGGTTTTTCCCATATCTGCAGTCCCTTTCTTAGGCTATTTTCTGAGCATTTAAATTTTAGAGATGAAACAGGAGGGTGGATAAGGAAGGCAATTAACTTTCATTGGGTGGCAATGGGCCAGGCCCTTGCTAGGTCCCAATTTCTATTTTCACCTTTGTTCATTTCCATAACTCAGAGAGGTAGAGGCCCCACTTTTCATAAAAGGGAATGTGAAGCAGTCTGCCCACAGTGTGCAGCATGTGTCAGAGCAGGATACAAACTCCAGCACAAAGGTCATGTACTTTCTGTCACATTGTGCTGTTTCCTCATCATTGACTCCAACCCTCACATGCAGGGCATTTACATTATTTAGTTTTTTACTTTTATAGGCATCACTGTAATAATAATTTGTGCTTGCAGGTTTTTCTGCATTTCAGATCATGTCCTTAGAGTAGATTTCCAGAAGTGAAATTAGTGGCTCTCAGGGGGCAACATGTATTGAATGCAGATTGCTCCAGTGATGGAGTTTCTCCTTTGTTTCTTCAAAGTAAGCAACCCTCAGGAGTCAAGTTGGGGACACATTCTTCAGGGACCTTCCCCCTTATGTTATGGCATGCTCCTGGAGGGCTGTGGCTGTCTTTCTTCTTCTGCCGCTCCCCACTCAGTATTGTCTGCAACTGGCAAGACATGATGAAGGTACTGAGCACTGAGTACCCAGCCATCTGGTCCACGTATTGCTGTGACGTGTCAGCATCTACTAGCCATACTGAAATGATTATGTCTAGAAACAACAAGAATGGATCATCCTCAGTTCACTGCATGGAAGGCATTTGATTTTATTTGTTTTTTGTTTGTTTTGGTTTTTTTTGGTTTTTTTTGCAGTACGCGGGCCTCTCACTGCTGTGGTCTCTCCCGTTGCGGAGCACAGGCTCTGGACACGCAGGCTCAGCAGCCATGGCTCACGAGCCCAGCCACTCCGCGGCATGTGGGATCTTCCCAGACTGGGGCACGAACCTGCGTCCCCTGCATTGGCAGGCGGACTCTCAACCACTGCGCCACCAGGGAAGCCCAAGGCATTTGACTTTAAATTGCATTTATCTTCAGATTCAACTCTACTTTGTGTAATAACTAACCAGCTTTGATATTATCTACTGAAAGCTTTTCAAGTTAACACATAACCATAAACACTGGTAGAGCCCTTGGTAGATAGTTTAGTATTTGAGGTAATGATTACTTGGTCACAAACCAGTTCTTGGCTTAGCAGTTGTTTTGAGTTGATTTCCTGAGGCATTTTTTTTCTCACATCTTTATTGGAGTATAATTGCTTTACAATGTTGTGTTAGTTTTTGCTATATAACAAAGTGAATCAGCTATATGTATACATATATCCCCTCCCTCTTGCATCTCCCTCCCACCCTCCCTATCCCACCCCTAACTTGTTTGATTTTGATTTCTGCAAAAACAGGGCCAGCAACAGACTATTCTTTGCGTGTTGCATTGCATAGTGAGCCTGCAGATGATTCCCGCCAACGTGGAGGAAGCCGTTCTTGCACGTGCCATTAAAGCCTTCACTAAGGTGGGTGGCACTTCTCTTTCCCCCTACAGACCACACTCAGTATAATCTTTGTAAATCAGAATCCGAGGGTCACCAGCCTTCTCTAAAATAACCCTTTTGGCCATGTTTCCCTTTAATGGAAATGTGTTTGACCTTTCTCGAAAATAGTTGCAAACTTTTGGCTAAAAAAATTCAGTTTCCTAGCAATGATATAAAAGGCTGAACTGTGGGTTTTTTGAAGGAGTACTTTGGAACAAAGAAGTTTTGTATAGAGAGAAACAATTGAGTGTTGAGAAAATATTTTTAAATCATGTTCCTAGTAGAACTCAGAGAATCTTTTCTTGTTGAGCCAGTTCTACCTTGGGTCTGAACAAGAAACCGTCTACTGAGAATTTAACATTCAATGTTAGCAGTTCGGTACCATGTCTGGTTGGCAAATCCTAAGCAAAAAGTAAAATAATGTTTCCTTTCCATGCACATCCTTTTGGCCTGCAGCAGTTTTTCCTGGCTGAAAAAACACGCCAGATTTCATACCAAGAGAAAAGGTTCCCTTGGGACTTCCCTGGCGGTCCAGTGGTTAAGAATCTACCTTCCAATGCAGGGGACGTGGGTTCAATCCCTGGTCAGGGAACTAAGATCCCACATGCCACAGGACGACTAAGCCTGCGCGCCGCAACTACTGACCCCACACGCTCTGGAGCCCGCGCATCACAACTAGAGAGAAGCCCGCTTGCCACAACAAAAGACCCCACATACCACAACTAAGACCCGGTGCAGCCAAATAAATATTGAAAGAAAGAAAATGTTCCCCTCACCTCTTAAACCAATTTGTTTGGTATCTCTCATATGTGATACAAAAATGTCATTAAACAAAGAACCCAGTTTTTCGATGACAGCATCTGTGGCAAACATTAATGATGATAGCACTTATTATTTGTACTCATTCACCAATCTCTTTCCCCATCCACTCTTT